AAAAAAAAAACACACATATGGAAGGGGGAGGAGAAAACGGGGAGGAAAAAAACACCCCCTGACGTTCTTGGAAAGGGAGCACACTATGGATTTGGAAAAAAAAAATAACCTCAGCAAACAGGCCCACGTACGCAACACGCTGGAAAGGGAGCACACTATGGATTTGGAAAAAAAAATAACCTCAGCAAACAGGCCCACGTAGACGAGCACATGCGGAAGTGTGCTCAAACGTGTTGTGAGCACACTTGTTTTGGTAGTCTGTTGTGTTAAGGATTACCAAGTGACATGTTTACCCAAACTGCCCTTGAACGGATCATGACCGGTGGCTACGGCGTGGACGATAAATCACAGCCAGACGTCGTCTGAAAAAAATAAAAAGGATGGCCAAACCCGCATCCTTCAAGAGGCAAACAAAACTGCAGATTTTCCCAAACAAGCAATGGAAAACGTGAGTTAACATGTTAATGTTGACAATTTTATACGTACAGTAAACTTGAAAATAGGGCCCATAGTGTGGAATGAGTCTCATGATGAGCCACATGCCCGTTCGGATCAAAAGCTACGGCCATTCAAATACGGGATGGGCCATAAAGTAAAAAGTGTGATCTGTGAGGCTTCCAGCAAACACTTTTTTTTTTTAAAATCTTGTGGCGTATGATAGGCAGCTTCGTTACTATTTTAATACTAAAGACAAACAAAGTACTTCGTTTCGGCTTGGAATTTGTGCTTGATGCTTTGCACTTAAAAAAAAAAATATTATTTTTAAACAGACAATGATGTGAATTGTAGGAAAAACTGATAATCGGCAGTTCAAAACAGGCCTCTTGGCCAAGAGTCCTTGGCAAGAAGACTACACTTCCTCCCTGTCGAATTTCCACACACACTAAGTCGAATTTCCACACACACTAAGATTTCATTAAAAAACAGACGCACACACACACACGCACGCACACACACACTCACCACTTTGGAACCTTTAACAATTGAAAGGAAAAATACCACAATGGGAACCTTCACCAATGCCCCCATTTAAGACTAAAACTATTACAGGATTATTGGGCGGGGTGGAAACACCCGAGAAGGATGTCAGGGATGAAACAGAAAAACATGTTTTGTTAAAAACAAACAAATCAACCACAAAAAACAAAAAAACAAAAACAATTCTGCTTGTGGAGGCACTGCAATACTGAAATGTAAAACTAAAACAAGAGAAACCCGCCACTAGACATTTCCCTTTCAGAGATGCGATTACCTTTGTTGGCAGCAGCATTTTAAAGAATGAGGAAAGCCGGTTTGCGAGAGTCGAGCTTGGCGTAATCGAAATGCTTTAAATAGAGGCTCACTATGTGACAACGAGGCATTTCTGAAAGGGGGAAAAAAAGAAAAAAAAAAGAAGACGGCACATGCACAGGATGTTCTTGGCTGCTTGATGGCTCCCACGCCCCTTGACATCCAACATCACAACCGTTTTGAATCACCTGACTCAAGTTACAGCAAATCTCTACGAGAACTCAAGTATTGGCAGAGTAGTTTACCTTTTGTTCACTTGCATGCTTTGAACTTGGTGAGAACAGCTTGAGGAGGGACATTTTCTGTTTCGGTATAACGCAAGCTCCATCAAGGTACGGTTGGATGAATTTGGTGGGGAAATAGAGGTAGTGTTCTGTTTTCTATGCATACAACCCATCTCTGATAATTACAGGCGGTATTTTGGGTATCCGTCTACCGGTAGTTTCCGTATCGTTTATGATCACTTGTCTTTGCTCATCAAACGACGTAGGGACGTCTCCCTAAGATGTTTGATGAGCAAAGTATACATAAAGCAAATCCTAACAGACACTCCAACATCCTCAAACATGTTTTCCGAGAGGAGCGGCGGCCGTTTCATCGGCAAATTGAAAACTCTTGTCTATTTAATTCCATTCAAGACAATTTTTAAGAACGTGGAATTGTTAAATAGTGATTCCCAGCAAGTTGACGGACCAGGTGTCCTGCTACTTTTGCCAAAATAGACGTATTTTGATGCTTGAGACGGCTGTAAAATATGGGACAGGAAGATTTTTTTTACCAAAGCGTTTTCCTAATTTGGGAGGTTATTCAAATACATGGATCCATTTTTTTTCAAGCATCTTTAAGCTGTTTCTCCTCTTCTCGTCGCTTCAATCTCAGCATGCACTGGGAATGAGTTTGATGGCAACTGAGGACGGCGCATTCCCGGAATGCAGTAATCTGTCCGTCATATTTTTAAGACGCATCTTAAAATGTGTCGAGTGGCTTAAAAATCTACACTTGGGCACAGGAATCTTTCAAAGCAGCTCTTATCGCATTGTGTGTATTCCCCACAGCGTAGCAAAGCTGAGGTGCCCCGCCCCCCCAAGCCGTGGCGTACGTTGACAGCCGCTGTACCACAGATGAGATTCACGGGCACAGCCGAGAATCCAGACGCGAGACAAAATTGCTTCAAAAGAACTGACTTCCTCCAAAAACGCTGAAGGACACCCTGAGCTTCTCGTTTTTGTCAAATGCTTGCGTGTTGCGAACTGCCATGAAATGTTCCACAGGAATATTAAAGGCGTTGTTTCACCTTTCAACAACAGTCACTTTCCCAACACCTGAAACTTGTTATTATTCATATTCTTATTATGGTCCTCCATGAGTGGAATGTGTGCAAGGCGACGAACGTGTCTGGCCAGTTTGGAAAAAAATAAATAAATCGTGGAGACTCTAGTGAGGCTGCGGCGGGCCATGTTGGATGTTCTGCTCCTGTGGCGATAGTTTGGAATTCTGCTGTGCAGCCATGGCCTGCATGCGCTGCCGCTGGGCCTGCCTGGCTTTGTTGTACAAGAAAACCCCCACAAACACGAGGATGGTGCCGGTGGCACTGAGCATGGTGATCTGATTGCTGAACACGATGACGCTCAGCCACACGGACAAGGCGTGCTTCACGGTGCTCGCGACGCTGAAGGAGAGATGAGGGAGTTAGTGCGCTCGGCAGAACACTCGCTCCTTGGGTGCTACAGGTGGAAATGTGACGGCTGCTTTTGCACAAAACCAAAAGCAGACATCACCGGAGCTCAACTCAGTCAGCACCAACGTTTGAGTGACCGATAGTCGAGAAACGTGGCAGTAAAACACAGCAAGGTTGGCTCGAAGTCTGCAGGGTTCCTACAGCTTCAGCCAAGTTGAATTCCAAATGCTTTAAGAGTGATTGTAATTCCATTTGAAATAAATTCTTAGAACAACTTCCCAATGTCCCACATTGTCCAAAGTTGCTACAAAACATAACGCATGTCCACCTGCTCTGTTTTGTTTGTTCCACTGTCGCGCTTGTGCGATTTTTCTACTAAACTCCATCCATCCATCCATCCATCCATTTTCCGATCTGCTTGTCCTCATAAGGGTCACGGGGCGTGCTGGAGCCTATCCCAGCTGTCTTTGGGCAGTAGGCGGGGGACACCCTGAACCGGTTGCCAGCCAATCGCAGGGCACACAGAGAAGAACAACCATCCACGCTCACACTCACACCTTGGGCCAATTTAGAGTGTTCAATCAGCCTGCCATGCATGTTTTTGGAATGTGGGAGGAAACCGGAGAAACCCGGAGAAAACCCACGCAGGCACGGGGAGAACATACAAACTCCACACAGGGAGGCCGAAGCCGGGATCGAACCCACGACCTCTGTCATTCGATCAATTCTTTTTTTCAAGAATGTGAATTTACGTTGAGATTTAAGAATATTTACAATCCGAAATATTACTCGTGGGCGGCCCGGTAGTCCAGTGGTTAGCGCGTCGACCTCACAGTGCAGAGGTACCGGGTTCAATTCCAGCTCAGGCCTCCCCGTGTGCAGTTTGCATGTTCTTCCCATGCCTGCGTGGGTTTTCTCCGGGTACTCAGGTTTCCTCCCACATTAAAGTCTTGTCTTCCAAACGCTGACATGACATGAAGCAAAGACATCAAAAATGGTGGTTTTAAATCGAGGAGGCATTTTGGGTCACACAGCTCAAATTGTTGAAAGGAGTGTGGGGGCAAAGCAGAAAATGTTTTGACGTATGATGACTTCAAAGCAATTTGCTTGTGCGTGTAGATTTTCCCCCCCCCCACAGAAGTCTTCAAGGGAAGTAGTAGTAGTACATTTGAGAAAGGCGGGGAAGGTTCAACAACACAACCCGAGTGTATCAAGTGTTGAAAAGCCAAAGGGAAGCACTGCACCTGAAAGTAACCGGAGAAATGCGTCCCATCAGAGCGTAGGCAGTGACACTCTGCAGGTGAAACAGGCCGCCGTTGAAGAGCAACAACAAGACGATGTCCCGACTGAAGGTGAACGTCTGTCCGCTCTTCTCGGTTGCGGGAGTTTCCTGGAAAACACAAACAAGCGTCAAACAAATCCATTCCACCAATGAGCACGGCACCGATATTTCTTCTTTTTTGACCATCATTGATTATCGGCAAGCATTTGAAATCATGTTTTTTTTTTTTTGCAAATGCCATTTTGAAACAGTGATGGCATGAAGAATTTCAGCAAGTTTCACAGCGTGCAATTTCGGCCCAACTAGTAGCAGCCCAACGCTGCAGTTGTTTGTTTCATGTCTTACAAAATCATTTTTTCTTCCTACTTAATGCACGTCTTTGTAATTGACATGTTTATACTGGATCGCACGTTCATGTTTTTACATCTATAAATGCTCATACGGTATGATAGGTGGTGGCCATTTTTATTGGAAATGGTTCCAATGAACTACCGTTATAAGGTCGTTATGTCCCTCGAGCTACGTTGTAATGAGTTTCGACTGTACCTGCGTATCACATTTTATAAAACGATTCACTCGGTGACCTACCAAGAGGAAAATCCAGGCTGGGATGAGCATTATGATCGCTGCTGCGCTGGTGTAAAATTGTAGTTCTGGAGGGCTGAAAAAATCAAATCAAAAAAAATGTATCATTTCACTTGTACGGCTCCTGTTTTTATTCCTGGTCTTTTTACCTGAATTTATAAGTGTCGCCGCTCAATAGTTTCTTGGAGAAGACATTCTGTAAACTGAGACGGGAGGGAACGGGTTAAGCGAAGCGCGCCGCTGTGGTCGTGCTGCGGCAGGGCGGATCGGCAGTCGCGGTTTACCATACCAGTCCATGATGTTGGTGGAGAGCGCAGCGGAGAACCCGAGCAAGTTGAAGCTGAGCTCTGTGGCCGTGCAGAGAGCCAAGCCCGCCATGACGGGGAACAGCGACAGATTCACCCACAAGCCTGCATGACAAGGAGGGTTGGCCAGTATTCAATGAAGATGCGTATTGGGGCAGTCCTTCCAGAGAGTTACATTTTCTAAATTATACTGACCGAATTTGTCAATATAAATTTGTTTTTTTTCCCCCTCCCCTACAAAGCGATTTTCCCCCTGCCTCAATGATCTTGAAGTTTTGCCTCATCTCGTCTTGTTGGCTGACAAGAGGAACACGTTATGTCAGCGCTTAAGTTTAACATGCCCCTTGTGTCCAGGCATTGTGTTTCAAATTTTTATCATTTAATTTGTAATTTAAAATTTCATGGAAAACGAATGCAAATGACAAGAGAACATCCAATACACCCCCTCCCAAAAAAAAAAAAAAAATGTCAAAAGCAACAACATTAAACATGTTACAAATTATGACATTTTGTTTCGGAGATATAATGGTAAAAACATTTTTGCATGAAAAATATTACTTCAAAATTTTTGTTGGATCAACAATGACCATTTCAATGATATTTTCAAAATGAATCGACCAATTCAAATACTCATGTTAGTAAAATGACTTGCTTTTCTAAAGGAAATTCAGTGGGAGACGTCTTCACCGCGATTGATGAAATCACCTGAAACGGAAAATGACCCACCTGTGTACTCTCCAAGAATCAACCTGGACATGATGACAGTAAAAATGGGCGCAGAGCTCTTCACCGTCTCGGCAAAAGACACGGCCACATTCTTCAGGCTCACCAAGCCCAAGACCACCGTGGTGAACCTGGAAATCAAGCAGAGAGATTCTAAGGACACTTCAGAACGAGCGACTTGTGAGGTTTGTCCTGTGATATTACTTCCACCTATCAGCATGACTTTTACCTATCTTTGCCTTCTGCTAATTCAGGCCTGCCAGTGTGAAGATTCCGCCGAGTAGAAAATCTAACACATCGGTGGAGGGGGGGGGGGGGGATTATTTCAGTATTCCTACTTTTTTTGTAACATTTATTTGGTTGTGTATCACGACATTTTTCTCGTGTAAAATGACTGCTTCACTCAAATAAGACTGTTTGTGTTTTCACAGAAAAATCATGCTTTCAACTTCAAGGTTTGACAAATATTTTCAGCTTTGCAGGAGCTCTGTGCTTTCGATGCACGGCATGCTTTCGGGAAGTCACCTCATCAGTCCAACGAAGAGCATGATCATGATGAAGTTGGGAGGATACTCGTTCCTGGATTTGTGCTGGTAAAGGCAGCAGGGCACGAACATCTTCAGGAAGCCAATTATGGTGGTGGAGAGCATCTGAACCGCACCTGGCCACAAAAAGGAAACAGCCATGAGGAAACAATGAAATACAGATTAGAATTATACTCAGTTAAACTGAACATGGATTTCAAATCGACACTGTAATGTTTTTTTTTTTTAATATATATTAAATATATATATATTTTCACTGTTGCAATCTGATTTGTGACTTACATATGTTTATATCACACCTGTTTGGTAGAATTTTCTGAAACTGTTGTAGTGAACGCTTAAAAGACTGCACATGTTTCGTCAGTTGGTCCACAGTAAAAACAAATGGAAAGTGGAGCAGTTCCCTAGCCGTCCGTCCTTACCCAGCATGCTCGGCTGCCCCTCCAACAGCGACAGGATGTATTTGTTGAGGAACAGGTTACAGAAGCTGAAGAAGTACCAGAGGGCCAGGTAGGTGAGGGAGCGGCGGTTCCAGACCCCTGAGCCGGCCTTGATCACCGTGGTCTCCGTGACGATGATCTTCAGCACCTGGTCACTGGGCAGGCTCTCGCTGCGGGCCAACACCACTCGCTCCTGACGGACGCGAGGCGGGAGCAGAAAGCGCCACAGCGATTGCCTGCTGCTTTTTGGCCTGGAGCCCAGCATGGCCCCCTGTTGCCCAGGCCCCCTCGAGTGTTTGGGGCGGGGCTCGGGGGTAACTGGGAGCTAAGCGGTCTGAAACAGTAGCTGTACGACTAAGACATCTTCTGATCAGTCACATGATGTTTTTTGCTCCATCTTGCTTTGAGGACATTTTGGTATTGATGCTTCGAAGACCTGCAACACACAACAGAGAAAAGAGTGACCACCTGCTATATCACAGATTTGATGTTTGTTTATTTGGGGTCTTTTAAAGTGTCGAGGAAAGTCTGAATTTAAGAATTGGCACCTTGTGCCACTACACTGCTGACAAGAGCGCAGTGGGCAAGTGGCCAGGCATGTTGCAATTGGGGCTTCCACGTCTTCATTGATGTTTCTGATTATAAGGAGACTGTCAGAGATTCTCACTCGGACAGTTGAACAGAGACTCTACCCAGAGAAGTTAAAGTAGTCCAAAAACAGGCTGGTCAACTGTAATGCATAGCGCAAGAGAATATTAGTTCGCTACACGGACATTGTATGAACAATGTATTTAGGTTAATGCAACTGTCTTAACAATGGTTTAGACTGAGTATCCTCCACACATTTTGCCATTTATGGCACAGCTTGAGCCAGAAGCGTGGATGGAAACTACAGTTGCACATTAGACTGCATTGCAAGGTAGACAAAAATTTGTACATTCCTAGAAATTTGGTTTTACAACCGGATATTTGGAATGGTATTTTTTTGTTCGATGCATAGTTGTGTTTTATTGTACTGTTTTTCTTATTTCGATTACGTAAAAAAAAATCTAAATAAATGGATCGCGGTTGGTGTTAACTGTTTATATTGGGATGCTGATACACGTTGCAGCCTTACCTCTCAGATCTTGGTTTAAGCGCGTTTTAACAAGCGAACGCGTGGGGGCGGCATGCCCCGCGATAAACGGAGCAGTACAAACCGCAGCTCTTCGTGTGACATTACTGCATCTATATCACATCTCTTCATACAATATCATTTTGCGGCCATAAAGGTTCTGCTTCACCACATATTTACTGTTCTTCGACCCTGCTCATTCACTGCAACACAATAGATGCTGCAGTCTGACCATTGTAAAATTTGAGTGCAAGCCAACTGAGTTCGGAGTGCACCGAGGCCAATAACCTCAGGTGGACACAAGGCACAACATGCACGTAGTGAAATAAGAAGGAAAGAACAGTACCTGACCACGAACACGAACCTCTCCGTGATGGTGTTCACCCAACGGACCAGCAACACAATCGGGACGACAACAGAAGCAGGAAGTTGCACGTTGACGTTAGCAAGCGGCTGCTCGCGGCAACGTGGGGAGCAAAGGTGCGAAGGCTAAAGGCCAGCCGAGCTGACAAGTCAGCATTCAAGCCATGAGAGGGAATCAAGCCAGTGAGGCAATACTGTACTTAATGGAGGCAAAGTTTTTGTAATCTGCCAGAGAGACTCTTATCAACGTTCTCGACTTTTGGACGTGGCGGATAACTGCGTCAAGCTCATATGTTGAAGCCACGGTGGCTTGCCTTCAAAATAAAAGTCATCCGACAACCTTGCCTGTTTTAATTTCAAAAGGAATTACGAACATAATTAACTGAGAATTATATTTTATACAGTGAATTGATTGTAATACTCCCCCTTTTTTGTGGTGGAGATTCTTTTGACAGACATGGCTTCACCAACAATATGTTTTATTTTCTTAATAAAGTCGTATAGTTCTGGAGTGAGTAAACTTGACCAAGTTTGGGTCATCTTCAGCAATTCTCGCGAGTGGACTTAATTTCATAAAGCACACACAAAGTTGACGCATTTCCATTTTCTAATCTTCTTATCCTCGCGAGGATCGCGGGCGTGCTGCAGCCTATGCCAGGTGACTTCGAGCAGCAGCGGGAGGACAACCTGAACTGGTCGCCAGCCAGTCGCAGGGCACGGGTAGAGACGAACAACCATTCTCACACACGTCCACACCGTCACTGAGTGGGAACCGATCCCAGGCTACCCGAACAAAAGTCAGGCGTGTACTACACTATCAGCAACACTAAGATCTTATTAATAAATTATATTCATTTTAGCAGCAGGTGAGCACATCCGCCTTGCAGTTTAGAGATGCAGGGTTTGATTCCGGCTCTGCGTGTTTTTTCCCCGGGTACTCCGGTTCCTCCCACATTCCAAAAACATTCAGGTCAGGTTCATGGAACACTCTAAATTGTCCCAAGGTGCGATTGTGAGCGCGAATTGTTGGTCGTCTATGTGCGCCATGCGATCGGCTGGCAACCAGTTGACGGCATTCATAAAATGGGCCAAAAGGAAAAAGCTCCTGTGGCAAATCGGTTTCCGTCTGCCAGAACTTCTTGATGAGTCTGATTTTTTTCAGCAAATTCTATATCCGATATTGTTTGAGTGTGTAAAAATGGGTCTTCCGATTGTTGTTGGAACATTTCAGGTCTTGTTTTAAGTTTTACGATGTGCCAGTTATTTTTATTTATTTTTTGCAATTCTTGAATTATCTGTTTAGTTAATCAAGGACTTGACTTGGTTAATGCTCAATAAAGTAAAATAAAAGTTATGAAAGTGGAGAGGAGAAACAATTTTGTACTTTTTTATTAGTTGCAAAATCCAGTGTGACATCAGATGAAATGCCAGCGTTGTATATTATAAACCATAATTACTTCATGTTTTGCTAATTGGTTCTCATTTGAAAACTGGGAAAAACTCAACGTCATTTTGATTTTGTGGAAATTTTGTGGCGCAAGTTATACAGTACAGTATATGCCTTCCAAGTTTTTTTTTTAAACTGAACCCAATGAGAAAAACAGCGTCTTTCCCCATGGAAAACTGTGGAACACATCGCCATCTACAGACGAAAGAAAGCTCATCTGCGGAGCTCACCCCTCATGAACCGCACGGAAAATGGACAAAGCGTCCGTGCTTTTGTGTGCGTGTTTGTATCTCTGCCCCCTCCCTACTGTCGTGCGCATGTACTCTGCAAGACAACAAATTCGAGCCGCTCCGGTTCCTGGTAATGTGCGGAAGGTCATTGTTCGAGTTCGACTCGTGATCAACTTGAAAACGAGAAGAACCTGCTGGCTCAGTACGACGACCTCATTCGTGGCCAGTTTGAGATGCGCCTAGCGTGTCACAATGACAATGTTAAAGAAGACGTACATTTTCCACCCGCAATTTAAAGCGACTTCTTGGTGTTTTAATAACATGACTGTGACATGCTTGTTGGAGCGTGGAAAAAAAAAAGCAAGCATCATGAAAGACAACAAAAGCATTTTAATCATGGCGCCAGCTCTTCGTAAACATGACATTGATTATGTTACAAAAAGTAAAGAACAACCTAAAAAAAACTTGTCCGAGATAAAATAATCAACACGTTCAACATTTTATATTTATCGGTTCGTACCAGGTAATAAATAAATAAATACAAAAAAAACAACTCTCATAATAATGTAGGGCAAGCCCCGCCTCTCCGAGTCAGCTGGTGCACAGAAAAAAAGAATCCTCTATACAGTATTTACTTAATTCGAACATGTCGGTTGCATGTGATTAAAATGTGGTAAACGGCTATAATTTTCACATCTTCTCAAAAATTATCAAATGATATATGTTGGCTTAGCACATTATGATATGCAAAAGAAAACAAGATCCTTTTTTCTTTCTTTCAGTGTATAGGGTTCAGCTCACCTGTGACTCTCAAAAGGCCAATCGGTAAAAAAAATGGATGGATGTTGCTTTAACATGTTCATGTGCTGCCCAGACACCTTGAGAACTTGAGCGACAAACATGAAAAGGAAGATGGCATCTTCCATGTGTTTGTTATTGTCGAAGTGAGCGTTTCAACCGTGCGTGAACCGCAAACTGGACACACAAGTTACTCAGGGTGTCTTTATTCGCTGGCCAAGGGTTTCACAGGTTGATAGTGAGAATCGTTCTTCAAATTGGGGGGAAGTCATCTGTTCAATGCCACAAAATAATATAATCAAAGGTTCAAAAACTTGAGTGAGAGCCAAGTCAGCAGCGTCATGGTGTGTGTCACTGTTATGACTTTTTCACCCTACTGCTCCTTTGCAAACTCAACACAGCGTCCTTTTCGACCTGCAGAACAGGGTATTGCAACAACAAAAATGACAATGACAATAATAATAATAATAATAATGAACTACAAAGAAAACATTGATTTAGCCTCTATGTGAAATTTCAGAATAAACCTAAAGTACATCTTTATTGATATAATGCATTCACAACAGCTGTGTGTGTAAAAAAAGCGCTTTACAAACATTTAATGTAAATTCACAAAAATGCATTCTAACTCTTGCAGGTTAACTTACTTGAAGCTTCCCTAAACTTTTGAAGACATATTAAACCTTTCAGTATTTCAGTACATTTTACAAGTTTCTGTTCTGTATCAAGGAGCTGATACGGGGCCCTGTCCTCCAGCAACTGAGCTCTGTGAGGCTACAAATGTTGCACATGCCAAATACTGCGACTGAATTTGTGCATTACAGATCGATCTTGAAATTTCACCTGAAAGACCAATATCCTTAATTGTTAGTGTATTAATTACCATCCCAGAGACCCAAGTAGGCTTAACAGTACCTCATGGGGGTAATTGTAATGTTGGCTTATATTAGCTAAGAAGTAGCTAGCGTTGACCACCGAATGATAGCTTGACAACAATCGACAGGCAAGGCCCCTTGTGGGGTTGACGGTGGAAAAAGCAGGGATGTAGTTTAAGTTGACGCAGAGAAACGTCTGGATTCCTATTGACAGTGGTGAAAGTTAACAGCTCATTAGCTGTTAGGCTAACTGCTCAACATTATGTACAGTGAGCGCCCACATAAAGATAAAGGCTTGGCAATTGTGTTTTAAATATGATAGTGTCTTCAGTAATCCTATTACTTCGTCAAAAGTGTCATACAATGGCTGATAGGAAAGTAGTAATTGAGGCATATCCGTGAAGTGTTCCGGTCTATACATGCCAAGAGTTATTCGGCATGTTGTAGACCATTGAAATATGTTGGATTTAAAAAAAAAAAAAAAAAAAAAGTTTTTGTTTCTTTTTTGTCTTTTGTTTTTAATTGTGACATTCACACAGACATCTTAATTAGCTATCTTGCCAAATGGCAGCTACTTTGTATACTGCTCAAGGGTGTAGCTGCATGCAGCTGCTCATCGAGGAGTGTTCCACAAATAACTAGAGACACCTAACAAAGGAATGCAATTTGTAAAAGGTGAAACTAAAAAAAAACAAAAAACATTTCTTGGACACATACATTAGGAGCTACCGCCACACCTATTTGTTTTTAAATGCATTCAATGCTTCCTTGAGGGAAGTTTGAGGGGAACTCATTTCACTACACAGGTTCCACCAGTAGCCGGGTCAATGTTTGTGTTTTCCCTGAGATGTAATCTTAACCCTGATGGTTGACCATTAATGACGGGACCATACGCGGCCCTACAAATGGAATGAACCAATGTCTTAAGCCATTTTGGCGACAGAATATGTTTAAAATATATTTATTTTCAACATTTGTAACAAGCTCTGGAGGATCTTGTTGAATTATAGTTTTCAGGTGGAGAACCAACAGCTCCCCACCTAGACCACGGGTCACCAACACTGTGCCCTGTGGGAACCAAGTAGGCCCCAAAGGACAACATGACTTGCCCTTGGGCCAGTTCTTAAAATATCAGCAGTGATGAGACATTGTGATTTCCTAGAATTTGGTAGGTTTTTTTCTTTGTTCTGGAAAAAAAAGCTACAAAAATGGTGCTAAGTTTGAGATAAAACCACTGAATAAACAATTAATGTAGCACAAAAGTACCAAACAGATTTATTTTCCCCTTTGATACATTGTAAACAAGTGAATAAAAACATTTGACAAAATACATCTTATTAAAGCGACACATATATACAGTACGTACTTCTGAGTTTAAGAGCTCAGTTGGTCCTCTTTGCTCGTCTTTTCATTCCAATGCAACATTCACATGGAATGTTGCCTCGTTGACAAGATAAAGAAAGGTTAGGCCACATGGCTGCTTTCACTATGGCTTACACGTCTAAAAAAGCAAAAAAAAAAAAAAACTGACTGTATTTATCGTAAAAACCCCCAAAATAAAACAAAAAACAGGCTGCATGTGATGTGCACAATAACCAACAAACTACATTAGTGAATGGCTACTGAGAAAATAGATTGGTGTGATTGTTTTTAACCCCCCCCCCCCCCCCCAAAAAGAAGTTATGGGATAAACCTGGAAAAGATTTGTTCTCACACATTCAATTGTTAATGGTCAATGTAAGGCACAGTTTGCAAAATTGGCTCATGTTCTAACATCAAATTTATAAAGGTGTGACAACATGAGATTTGGCCACTAAAGTGCAAAACTTTCACAGAGAAAGAATGAAAGAATGTATTTTTTTTTCAACCTGGTTGCAGGTTGGAAAAAAAAAAAAAATCGGAAAACACACATTCTGAGAGGTATTATTATAACCTTTGAAGTTGAGCACATTAGCACAAGAACATCCCTAAATCTGAATTTGGTGCCTTAAGACAAAAAAAAAAAAAATGGGGATGACCCGCGCCAACAGGGAGCCATTCGAGGCCACTCTAAAAATCCCCTTTAGAATTGAACAGCTTTGCATTTCTCAAAATTCTGTCGTCCCATTTTAAAGTGATACAAAACTGGTGCTGGTGGAGAACTACTACTGTTAAAAAAAGGGAACGGTACTGAAGATCAAGGTGACGGTAAAAGAAAAAACTGGGTCTCAGAACTCATCGTCCTCTGAGCTGAGGTGATTCTGCTTCTTCCTCACGTTCCAGTGTAAACACTGGGCTAGGCTCTCGAACCAGTCGTTGACCGGGTTGCGGAAGCAGATGCAAGGAATGGGGAAGCAGGAAGTTGTGATGGAAATACTGCAACAAAGAGAAAGACAAAGAGATGCCTGAGCTCATGTGAGCCTGCCCCGAGTTCCTTGTGAAGCAACACTGGGGATTTCCACACTGATCGTTCAACAAGTGAAAGCGGCTGGCAACTGACGTCGTAGGTGTTACATAAAAGAAGAGGTGCCACTCTTTCAAGTCTCAAATTAGATTACACAAAAACCGCATTGAGTGCAGAGCAAGTTCCTGCTTCCGATCCTGAATTGTGTCTGTGTTTGGACCAACCTGTCTCCGTGACAGATCTCTTGACGGCGTCTCCCGTCGAATGATACCCATGCCGTGTTTCTGGCATCACGTGACAGCATTATCTAGAGGAGGAGACACATGACCACTAAAAGTTAATGGTGTACAACAGTTGTTCTGCCACATAAGCAGAGATATTACCGTATTTTTCGCACTATAAGGCGATTCGGATTATAATGGTCGCCTTCAATGAATGGCCCATTTTATCACTGTTTTCATATATAGGGCGCAGCGCGTTATAAGGCGCATAGAATAGAAGCTACAATAGTGGTGTTAGGCATCCACTAAATGGACCTACACTAAAAGGAATACAATACAGCTTTATTTATAAAAGCCCTGGCAGCGGTTCGGTTATGCATCCACTATATGAAGCTACGCTAAAGGGAATACAATACAATACAGCTTTATTTAGATAAGAGCCTTTACGACCGCTGCAGCTTTCACAAAGCGCTTTACAGAACATTTAAAATACTGCGTCCAAGAAATCAGAATATTGATCCGTATATAAGGTGCATCGGATTATAAGGCGCACTGACGGCTTTTGAGAAAATTGAATGCTTTTCGGCGCGCATTATAGTGCCGATAATACGGCACGTCAATAGAGTCTGTGTAGGTAGGGGCAAATCTGCTACACTGGAGCCAAAAGGCTTTGAGAATGTGCTCCTTCTTCACATACATGCCAGGTAAAAAAATGGACAAACATACGAGGAGAAAATAATCATTGCGGTTAGCCAGCTTCCAGTCCAAAACAAATTCAAACAATAGAATAATAGCATCGTGTTCAATGCAAGAAGTCCAGATTTCACACCGAGTACTTTTATCATGAAATCGAGATGACATGTATGCAATACAGTACAATTGTGACATTTTCCTTTTGGTGGTGTGCCATGAGAAGAGTTGGAAAACAATCCTTCTGATGTCAAACAGCATAGCAAGCAGCGCGGTGTGAGTGGTGAGCATCTCTGCCTCACTTATGAGGGAATGAATGAAGAGGCACAGAAACCGCTGGCGTAGTTCATTTCAGAGTCCAACTAAATTCACGACACACTGAATTTCTTTTTTTTTTCCCCTTTGAATGATTACACCTTACGTCACACAAAAACCTCATATTAACATCAAGAATTTCAATATCACAAAAAAAAAATCAAAATACATTTTGGGAATTTGGTAAAAAGCAGGATTGAGTGCAAGGAGTCAACATGTCGAGTCAACATGTCTGCCTCACGGTTTTGAGGGTGAAATCTCAGCTCAGGCCTTCCTACTTGTTGGGTTCAAAATTGTCCTTACGTATGAATGTGAGTGAGTAGCTGTACTTTTGCTGGTATGTGGCATGTTGTTTTTAGTCATATTAAAATACGAACAATCAAGTGTTCTAATGTTCACTTAAAACAGAATGAAAAAAAAAAAAAACCTAGCAATTGGCTTGAGTCTAGTGTCTATGTACCTTCAACTCCACTCCGGCTGGCACCACGATGGGTCTGAAAGAGAGGGAGTGGGGGCAGATGGGAGTGATCATGATAGCCGGCACGTTGGGGTGGATCATGGAGGCTCCGGCGGCCACTGCATATGCTGTGCTGCCTGTAGGCGTGGAAACAATCACGCCTGTGGGAACAAGGAAGGACTTTCATTCAGAGCTCATTTCAGAAGACAGAGAGCCACTTTGATCAAATGTCAGCGCTCAGTGATTCAAAGATGACCATTCGGAGACTTGGCAATGCAGGCGTTAGTTTTTAAGAACTGGTGTGATATAATTTTCAATTTACAGCAGTTCCTCTACTTACGAACGTCACTTCATACGAAATTTTCAAGTTACGAAACGCTTCATAGTGCTTCTTGTTACGAAAGAAATTTCAAGATACGAAAGGTTGCAACTCGCAGCTCCGAGTTTCCTGAACGCAACATACTTATAGCTGCTCTGCCACTGGCTATTACCGAACATCATTCTGGCATCCCATTGGTTAAGGGCCATGAGGTGTTTCGATAATTTTTCGTAAATGTGAATGACCCAGAAAAAGTGTTCACCAGTCGGGTGATCGCTCACTTTGCTGATGTTTGCCTTGGACATTTTCAAAGGATTGGTAAAAGACGACAAAAGCAAACGTCCTTGGATCAGTTCTTGACAAAACGCCAGGCAAAAACCACTTCCGAGAGATAACATGAACGAAAGAGGGCAAAAAAAACAAAAAAACAATGAGGACAGAGTTCAAAGTTAAATGACCACCATTTTAATTCTTTATTCTTTGTTTTTTTACATTACGCACAACTCTCATTTACTGTGCAATAATCTAATTGTAACATGTATTTGTGACATATTTTGATGCATTTTTATGCTTTCAAAACATTTATATCTGAATTTTGGGGGGTCTTGGAACGGATTAGGGCATTTACATGGAAAATGCGTCTCTACTTACAACATTTTCTAGTTAAGAAATTTCTTCCAGAACCAATTCATTTCATAGGTTGAGATACCACTGTATTTTCAATTTATTTGTTGACAGGAAGGCACGTTTATGGTGGTGGATACATTCCAGGCCCAAAAGCAGGAGATGAAAATCCACATGATACGAGACACCCCTTATATACATATGAAACACACTTAAATTTATTAAAACACATATTGTAAACATTTTTGAGCACGCACGCACGCACAAGATCTTCGTATTTCTTTTCACCATCCTGTTTTTATTTGGTGTCTCCAATTTAAAAGCATGATTTTTCTTTTGCAGTTTTGTAAAATCGTCCTGGCTTCATCTTTTCATTTCATTTTGTTTTTCAATCATGATATCGTCACCTCAGTAAAGCACGATGGATTTGCATCGAGAATGAATCAACTTTGCTTTGTCTTCCGCAGGAATTTTTGGGGATTAATTAACAACCACATTTAATCACACGTTCCTATTTTTGTACTTTAGATGACGTTTAATTTTCCTGACCTAATTCCAGTGTGAAATGAGCGAGGGCGTGGCACAGTGAGTGCGTGGTAACGCTCATTGTGAAAGACGTTTCGCCGATGTGTGCATGTTGCATGTTCACAAAACGGAAGTTTGGTTCCAAGAAGAAAAACCACATGTAGAGTCTGCGAACTCAGTGGAGTGAAATCAGCAAATTAGCCCTGAAGTGCGGGCATACCACCCCCACAAAAATCTATGAACCATCCAAACTGACTTGTATTGAAAACATTATTAGTGTTAAATGATTCATATCCCCCGCGACCTTTATGAGGATAAGAGCATCAGAAAATGGATGGATGGATGATTCATGTATTTCATTTAGTTGACTTAAAAAGCCTCCAATTAATTAGATGTTTTTTTTCTTTTTAGCCTCACCTCAAATTGGAAATTCATCAAAGTCTTTGCACAGATTTCAATATAGCAGTGTTGTCGGTGACGTGTGATGAGAGGCTCATGACCGAGGCACTACTCTAGAGTTTTGGGAATTTCTCCATTGCGAGACTAATAAAGGTTTTCTTATCTTATCTTATCTTATCTTAGAGTCGGATATAAAAATATGAATCCAAAAATAGAGTGGCAGTCTACTGTTCAAATTTTGACCTTCACTGAAACATATGCTTTCAAAATGTCATTTTTCAATGTTTGATTTCAAAGGTTTTAATTGTTTCAATTATTTCCACAATGTTCAATGTGATGGCAAGAAAAACAAAAGAATATTCAATATAAGTTAATTGTTGTTGGGTTGTGGGTTTTTTTTTTTTTGGCGGAGCTTTCTTTTTTTAAATTAAAAAAAAATTGGTTTTGCTTTGGTATCGAATATGAATATGAAAGCACCGTTTGTAAAATTACCTTTGTGTTTGATCTCACATCTGCATGATGTTTCTAACAACCCAATCCGCAAAACTGGCCATTCTGTCACCCCGTGACGGACTGACGGGCCTGAAGGAAGGTCCGTCAGTCAAATGACGAATGACGGACCGGTGAAATTTACTGACACACACACCACAGTTGTTACCCTCATAACATTATTTACCTAAAATAGCGGTGACGAACTGTAATTGAGCGATGACTGAAACGCGGTTTTTCTGTGATGTGATGACGTGTTATTTTCAAGAAATAGAGCCTCAATTTTGGGAAAACGATTTTTTTAAGGTTCCACAGACATCCTGTCTCTCATGCAGACGCCAGGGACAATGTGTCAACACACGGTGTTGCAGCTCTGATGCGTTTTGAAATACCGGTGTCTCAAGATGAAAAGACACACCTTCCCGCAGGTTTTATGACATCGCGGAAAAACAGTTCCTTGCCAAGCCTCACCCAAACACAACAGGTATGAACGTAGGCCAATTCTTTTTTGCGGGAGACAAATAATGTGCTCGCTCACCGTCTCCCTGCACGGTGGTGATAAGGTGTCCGTCCAAGAAGAGATCCACGTTGGAGAGGTAGGAGGAGGGGCCTCTGTCCACAACCACTTCATTCAGCACCTGAAACATGAAAAGGGTCAATGTACCGTGACATTCTATCTGCACCTCATGTTAGCGTCGACAAGCTCAAAATGACGGCTGGTGAGGCTGCCAAACATGTGGATTCATTCCAAAAGTCACACTTTCACTGGAACTCAGCTCTACTTGTCAGCTTTCTGCTTGGAAAAAAACCAAAACAGTACCTCGGGAATCTATGACAACCAAGGGTGGAATGAGTGCAACAAGAAAACTGATCTCTGGAGCAAAATGAAGGCCGATTCTCAGTTTCACATTTTATTCGTTATAATTAGTGGGACGAAAATAAAAATGTTCAATTTATTTTGTTGCTCTTGGGCAGCAATCTTTGTTTGTCCTAATATGGTCAAGTTCAGATTTTGTTTTTCCCACAAATTGATAGTATTGGTCGGCCAATGCTTTGTCCATTATTTTTACAGCATATTTACCAATTTAAAGCATTGAAAATAGTTTGAGAACAAATCAGGAAGCGTCTATTAAGGTGCGGTCTAATAGTCGCCCATACCGAAAGTTACAATGACTTTTCTTTTTATACAATAATGAATGACAATAGAAGGGCAGGGTCAATCCAAGTTTCATCATGCTCTTATGCAGATTGTGCAAATGGTGGCTAAATATAATCTGGAAAATCCCATAACGTGTTCTGACACAACCGCTTGTCAGATCTCAGACCATGTTGTAACCATCGGTTTTGCGGACGTAGAATCTAATCGTGTAGCCAACCCTGTGCGCAGATGAACTTCACATCATTTGAAATGTGTAGCCATTTGATTGGTATCATTTTAAACTGACCCAAAATTTGCTGCCGGTTCAAAAGCTTTGAGCTGCTCAGCTCAAACCCGCAGGTGTCAGGGACGAGAGCGATGTGCAATGAGCAGTGCTGACATTACCTGATAGTTTGTGACTTTGCGGCTACCGTCGACTTCGCCGTTGGTCAGAATGATGCCCTTTTCCCTCTCCCGGTGCACGCGAACTTTCAATCGACTTCGCAGCACTATGGCTGCATTACCTACAACAAACAGTGATTGTGGGTAAAAAAATGAATCTTTTTCTTTTCTTTTCTTTTTTTTAAACACATTTGTTGGAGGAACAATACAATACCTTCAATAATTTGGGTGACCTGAGATTGATAGGTGTCAAACTTGAAAGGTGTCAGAAAGCCAAGAGAGCCCAGATGGAAGGCCATCACTGGTGGAACGCTGTCCTGCATGGCCATGATTATTAACAAGCAATTGAAGAATAGCGCTTTCACAACATTGATTGTGACAACACACGTTAAGACATGCCTGAAAGAGCGAAGACGCATAGAGCAAAGTTCCGTCTCCGCCAAGACAGATGATGAAGTCCACACGGTTGGAGATGTCATCGAGATCTATCAAGCACAGAGGTACACCGTTATCATCTCAAAAGTGGGAAATATTAAGTGAAATTTAGTTTTTCAATGTCTTGTATATATATTCGGGCTGCCTAAATTAGTCGACCAGTCACGACTACATCGAGGACCAAATCCATCGACGGCTAATTTAATAGTCGACGTCATCGTTAGTAAAACCGCCGTGTGTTGTGCTGTTTCTGCTGGCCCATCTGCCTGTCTGTGATGTACAGTACATGCACAATATTGGTCGTCCGCGATGTAAACAAATGGCACTGCGGCAATGGCATGGCTAACCGGCGTGAGCCAAAGTTAGGGCGCATTTCCTCAAAAAATATTTCATGTGATGCAAACCTGCCTATCTGGCAGCATTGCGGTGAAAGAACAGGTAGGCATGTTTTGTGGCTGATGCCTTGATGATCTAAGTTGAGGCACACGGGTTTCGGTGCGTTTGATGTCACGTTGTGACACGATGCCATGTTTGGCTACGCTCGCATATCGTAGTGTTTGCTATGAATTACAGAAGCATTAGTCAGCAAACTACCATTTAGTACGAACCAAAACACAGCTATTAGTAGGCCAAATGAGGATGAAAAACAAAAATCATACACGCTCTCTTGCTCATTCCCACACGCATGAACAGTGAGAGAACTTGGAAAAGTAAGGACTACAAGTAACAGAACTTAACGTGTTTGTTAGCTCAGTGGCAACGCATGATAAAACACACATTACCCAATTCATTACACGATACAGTCAAACCTCTGTTTTCGAACGTCTCTGTTGTCGACCAAATCGATTTTCAACCAGAAAATTCGAGATTTTTTTATGCCTCAGAGTACGACCGAAAACTGGTTTTCCACCAAATTGAGCAATCCCGAATACGCCACTTGACTCCACTCGGCTTCCTTACACGAGTAAGTGAAAGCAGACGTGTTTGTTGTGATTTACGCAAATCTGACTGTTTTTATGTTATTTCTGCAGAGTGTATTAGCCCCTAATCATAGGCTAATAAAATAGTTTCGGATTTCAAACAGACTTCTGGAACGGATTATAGTCAAAAATCGAGGTATGACTACAGGTATTACATTACAGAGCCAAAACGTATCTTCCTCCTAATCCTTAAACAGTTCGACCACTCGCTTCTCCTTTCACACTTCTCCGAGGTCACAGTTGGATTTGAGTTCATTGTATTTGTCTCTGGCGGACCTCGTTATATTCATATGATATATGAGTGTTGAAATTGAAGCCATCTTTAAATGGGAATTTGTATAAGTGAGACCGCTATTTTTTTTTTTTGTACTTGAGCAGGGGGTCATTTCTATATGCATTTGAAAATTAAAATATATTAATTAAGATGCCCTTCTGTACAGTGGTTCAATAAAAAAAACATACATGCTCATATGTTGTCCTTATTAAAAAGGCAATTATGTCAAATATCTGGTCAGGACGTGCGCAGTCCTATTTGGCCCTCCAGCCATGCCGACGAAAAATTGTGGGCCACCCCCATTCGTTTCGATTGCGTAGTTATTGACAGCACAAGGCAATCGCTCATCAACATTTGATTGCACCTCTTTACTACGGCGCATTCATACCTTCTCTGAAAGTGCAGAATTTCTTTGCAAGGGTCCCAAAGTTGTCATCACCAGAAATAGCTGGGTCCTCCAAAACCTTCTTTTCCACATACACAATCATGTTTTTGACCTAAAACACAAACCGAGAAACATAAGTTAGCCACCAACACATGAGCATGACATCATCGCCAACTATTCAAATGTCCCGCTCTCTGCCGTACCTGCGTGAGGAAGATGCAGAGATCCTTGAAAGGCTGAAGCAGGGTGGCATCTCGGATCTTTTTGATGACGAGGACACTCTTGGGGGGCGTGTTCCACGTCAGCTGCTGGGTGGCGGGGTCCTGAATGTGCCTGGTAAACACGTAAACAAAACCGTGAACAACACATGAGCCCGGGGCTCTTAGGCTGGATGTAAGGCCACTTAAGTAGCTAAAGCGTAAGGAAGCAGCAGTGTGTGGCCGTTATCCTATTAAAGCCGTTGGCTTAAAGGTCTGCTGCAGAATCCCCGTGTGCCGTCTGCTTCACCCGATTCAAACTCTTGACAACAACCGGTGGATATTTTGGGTGAGATACAACCACAGACATGGCAGTCGGAAGTAAGATTTGTGAGAATGCACCGCGTTTCAAAATGATGCAAATGATGTGTTTTCTCTGATTTTTATACGCAGCCGATGGCACTCAGCATAATTTAAGTCATCAACTGTTTGAGAAAAATGTCAATGTTCTTCAACAACCCTCCCAATGGTAATGGTTGCTGCCCCCCCCCCCCGCCAAAAGTGAAATCATACTTTTTTTCTTAAAAATACACTGTTCCAAATTAATTTGCACAGGAGTGTTTGAAGACATTTTCTCTGACGTAAAGAAATGAAACTGGACATTTGTTGAACTTGCTGGAATCAAATGCTGTTTCACAACCAAAACATTTCAAGTTAGATTTTAAACATTGGACCTCTTTATTTCATTGAAGCGTTACAGTTCTTGCATCCATTAAAATTGTGGGTTTTTGCTTGTGGCTTCTGCTTGAATTTCTTCGCAGGATTTCCGAATAACCACCCAGAGCTACTGTTTGGATTAAAACTGCATCCCAACTTCATTGATCTTTTTGCTACTGCTTCTTCCCCTCATGGACCTTTTGCTTAAAGATCTGTCAAAGGTTCTCAGTAGGTTTGATGGTCCAGGGGGTGGGGGTGTGTGTGTGTCTGTGTGTGTATGTGGGAGGGGGGGTCGGAGCCACACACAAGTTTCTCTACTTTGATGATGCCCAGACTGTAACAGGCCATGATGAAGAGTAATTTCTTGTGGCATAAGATAAGTGATACATAAGGATGATTTTGTTTTGCAAAGCCCTGTTCTTAATTTTGTACCATCGAAGAAAGGATGAGTCAGTCAGAAACTCGACAGGCTTTTCGGAGGATATTTTAACAACTTTAGGGAAATGAAAGGGACCGACCATCTTTCTCTGTCTCTCTCGATGACTCCATTACCTCCCTGCTGATGTTACAACCTTAATGGTACACGGTAGGCATCCACCAACCAAATACCATTCCATTCATGTTGACCATACAGGGTTGCGCAAGCACTTATCGGTGAACAATCTCATGCTGCAAGGAAGCCGTATTCCTTGCATCATTTGCTGCTGCTTTGGGCATAAAAGGGGAGAAAGTTGTGGTGTGGTCACCATCTTCCCCTGACCTCAACACTGTTGAGAACCTTTGAAGGACTCTGAAGCAAAAAGATCTATGAGGGTGAGATGCGGTTTACATCCAAACAGCAGCTTCAGGAGGCTACTCTCATATCCTCGTATCCAAACTCACAAGTTCAATGGATGCAAGACATTGATTTTGATTTCAGCAAATACAAATGCTTCAAATTAAAAAAAAAAAAAAAAGACTTATTTTCAGTTTTTACAACTGATAAAATGGCTTCAACACAATGCATTTGAACAAAAACATTTTGATTTTCTGAAAAAGAAATAGTGTTATCATTGAGAGGGTTGTATAAAAATGGTGACATTATTCTCTTACAATGGATGGCTTGAAAATTATGCTGAGTGCTATTTGCATGTACTATTTATAAAAATCAGAGGGAAAAACATAATTTGCATAAGGAGGATCGCGGTGTGCCGAGAAGCAGACATTGGAATTTGCAAAGTAAAAGGTATGCTGATTTACCAGTACGCAGAGCTGGAAATTAGTGCCTGAACGAGTTGGCCACGCAATTACACCTAATACGTGGGTTGGCTGTTGCGTCATCATGCAAACAATTAGCATGCGCAGATCATTGGACATGAAGAGAGAATTCTTAGTTTAGTTTAAGATTTTGCTATTGGGTGAGCAATTGCATCAAAAAAAAAAATATTACCTTGACTGGAAATCAAGCTAAATATTTTGGGTGACTGAATTATCTAATTAGGCCTCCATAAACTCAACTTGGCTTTATGTGATTCATATCCATTTTAAAACATAAGTTACACAGACCTAATCCTTACACCCAACACATGCTATTCTTTCCTTTTTTTTTTAACCTCAGGCCATTTGAGATGCTGCACATTAACTTTGGTATCCCACTGTGACATTTGAGCTGGTCACATGTGGAAGCCGGTGGAATCATACCCTAATTAAATCTGATTAGAATAATCGATGTCCTGTTCGAAGGATTTTTTTTTTTTTTTATATCTTGTGTCCATCAACAAAAGGTGTGCTGTGATTGGCTCTTGACCAGTCCTGGATGTACCCCTCACACCCAAAGTCAACTGGGACAGGCTCCAGCTCACCCGTGACCCCAATGGGAACAAGCGCGGTAGAAAATGGATGAATAATCAAGAGGAAACATTTCTCGTACTGCAGGATAACCATATCCTGTTTTTTTTTTTTATGTTGAAAATCTGTTCACATATTCAGAATTGTATTACAGCAACTGTTGCTGTTTCCTAACTGAGTGGGCCTGGAGTGAAGCACCCAGTTCAATCCTACCTCTGAAGACTCCTCATTTTGTCATGTCATCTCATAAGTGTGAAAAGAATGTTCGCTTGGGGCTCAATACAGAACCATGAAAAAAGGGATTGCAAAAGCTGCGGGAAAGCATGCGTGCAAACCGACCTAGTAAGGAATCAGGATGGTTTCGTAGAGTCAAGCATTCAGTCTCTTAACTCTGTTTGGCTGAGGGTCAACTCGACCCGTTTCAAAGTTTAAAGAGTTCGAAACTTTTTTTCAAATATAAGAAGTAGGATAAACTACTTTTGCCAGCATTCCACCCCGATTTAACAAAAAAAAAAAACAACAAAAAAACAAAAAAAAAAAAACATGAAACGGCAAACATTTAGTCAATAACAAATGTTTTTAAAAGAACATTGATTTTGTTTGTGGCGTTCAAAAAAAAAAAAAAACACATTTTCATGGAAATGTGTATTCTTTGCATGCAGCCGGGCACCTTTAACCATAAAAATTTGGGGGTACTCAAGAAACAAACAAAGAGAATGCATAAGACAACATGAACTCCCAGAATAATTGGACATTTTCTAACACCGTATTTTCAAAAAAGAAGAAATGATTTCTCTCCAGCTCAACATCCTCCAGAGTCGTGTGCAGGTAATTCCAAATGCAGAAGTTCAACAACTACAAAACTTGAGCGGGGAACTTAATTTGCATATCGCCATTGTCCTTTTGACCTGTATACAGTATCAGTCACTTTAATTGACAATGAGGAAAACAATCAATATAAAATGGATTTTTATCTTCTAAAATTTTAATTTCATATGTTTCATGTTAATACATCTCATACTCCTTCTGACCCTTTGCCAAATTGCTATATAAAAAACTGGATATAGCGTAACTGAAGCCAACTGAAATTACACACACGCACGCACACGCACACAGGATGGCTGCTATTTGAGATTAGCTCAGTCAATGGAAATCCATGCATTACAGATACATGTATTTACGTAGCATTGGCAATCATGGTGGGAAATGGTGCATATGCCAAGGGCGACACCATGAATTTTTTTTTTTCAGGATCTGGATAAAGTGAATATGGCATCCATCCTTCAACATGTTGGTGGAATTGCCCTTCTGTTAGTCATCCTTCATGAAGGAGGAAGTAACCTGCTTACAAACATGTGGCTAAACAAACATGACACTAAGATTTGCTAACATGTAACGGAATTGGAAAAAAAAGAAAGTCATCTACTTTTGGAGACTTTAGTACTGTAGTGCTATTTGGTTGATACAACATTAACAATCATTTCCCCTGCTCCCCACAACAAGTGGTTTGTAATTAAACATTAAAGGCGATGCAAATAAACAAATAATCAAATCACACTAGTATAGTTATGTTGGTGCAACTGAATCAAAAGCGAATCTGCAGGTTGCCACCAAAGTAGCCCAATCATCATTTTTCAACCATCATTATTTTATATTGCACTTATTTTGAACTGTGTACAGTTATTTTCTGAAACATTTATTTTGTGCAATGAAACACTTTATTCCCCCCCCACCCCATTTTGCTGCCGTAGACTGCAAATTTCCCCAATGTGGGACAAATAAAGGTTATCTTATCTTATCAAGCCAGCAACCAAATGATTATTCTGCCAATACTTCAATGCAATTCAGCAACAGTTGCTAGTACACTTGCACATGAATTAAAACTGCCCATTTACACTGACACTCAATCAAACACTGACATCTATGAACTTCCGTGATTTCAAACAACATTTGGATTTCAAACAGAGACAACCTGTGATCCATTCACAAAGCGCTTTAACACCTCGACATCCGCCTCCCTTCAGTGGTCTCAAACTAGACAGCAACTTCAGCACTGGGTTGAAAATTCCTCACTCACTGCAGCACGGGTTAAATATTTCCCATAGCCTGCGTATTCTGACACGGCAAAGATGCTTAGTTAGTCCTCTCACCATTTCCAGGCTTTGTTCTCCTTATTGCCCGGCGCGTCTTGAAGTACCACCTTCATGGCTGTACACATGTGACACGGTTGGATGCGGCTTCAGGCTACAGACAAAGCTGGAGACTGATGATCTGTCAGGAAGGCAACAACATCCTCGAATTCGAGAGAGGAGCCTCTGTCTACTTGTGAGGAAACTCTGCGTTATGTGAGGGCCGCGGGAAGCAGCTTACAAACCTTACAAGCTAGACTCACAACTGCTATATTTGTCCCGGTGAGGACTTAACACTAAAGCCTCCTCGGTGCGTTCTGCTGCTGAATCGAACTTCTCGCTTGTTTTAAGCTTCCTCTCAGTCACGCCCACTCAGCTCTCTGCTGAGCACACCCATTTCAGGGAAATGCTTGCCTATAGGCTACACTCCTTCATTTTTCAACAGGTGTGTTTATCAGAGCGCAGTTGAAGACGCTGCTTTGCCCAGAAGCACTTTACCCGCTGTAATGATACGCTGCGTTCAAACAGGAACAACAGCGGTCAAATGTGTGCAAGTGGATTTCAAAACAAATGGGAAGAGGCAAAAGACACGACTTTATGATGTATTTAAAGAAGAAAACAACAACAATAACAAAGCAATGCATTTCTAATGCAATTCAAACGGTGAAGACAACCTCCAGACAGGAGGAAGTAAATTACGTACACTAAATTACGTCATAAGGTATTTTTGGAGCTTAATATGTCTGAGCTTGCCCACTTTGTATTTTGTCATGATTTGACGTGGTTATGGAACATTTAAATGTCATAGAAAATGTGCCTTCCACATTTTTACATTTGACATTTGTGGAATAAAATGCCAAAAGTTAGTGTTGGAAATGCTTGTCACAAGTCGCCTATCACAACAAATGTTGTGCGCCTCTTGCTGTCATCAAAGCAGGTCAGGTGAAACCGTGGCAAAGCTTGCAAGCGTGCGTGCGTGTGCGTGTGTGTGTGTGTGTGTGTGTGTGTGTTCTACGGAAGGCTTTATGCTTTTAGAAGAACACTGAAATATGTTCCCAGTTTTCAAAAGAGACAACAGCTGTTACTAAATATTCCTAGAACCACCAGCTTGTAGCGACATGACCTGCTCATGGCGTTGCTCTCATGCCATGTTACAATAAGGATCATGTTCCACATCGCATGGGTTTATGGCTGATGATGCAACATCAAGTTTGAGAATCACAAAATGAAAATGGGAGACCATTTTTAAAACTACACGTCACCCCCGCCCCCATCTTGCTGCTGTAGACTGCAAATTTCCCCAGTGTGGGACTAATAACGGTTATCTTATCTCATAAGATTTCTAATTACCGTAATTTCTCAAGCTAAACTGCCTCCTCCCTGGAAAAATAAAGTCAATCGACCTAGTGGTGGGAGTTATACTGTACATCGGGTTAAGGGGGTGGTGTGTGTGTTGGGGGTTGAAAAATTATCACGAATATAAAAGTTTACCTGGAAAAGATGTAGTTTCATTCCAGTATGATATTTGACGTCTAATGTCCATATAATAATGAGGTGGGTTTGACAAAATGCTTCAGGGAAATAAAGACTGATTAATATGTCCCACACGGGCTGGAAGGGTTACGGTACTTCCTTGTTGGGAACCACCGATATGTATTTTTTGAGGCAGGTGCAGTTTCCAATATTTGGAAGAAAAAAAAAAACAAATTGGCAGTTCCGGCCGATTCAACTTGTTGAATCGGATCAGGCTGTCATGAAAATTGATCACTGACTGGCTGTGAGCTTGCAAATCAGTACACGAGAAGCGACCGAGAGATAATAGTTACATTTTTGAACATGGATACCAGCAAATTGGAGGAAAACCTTATACATGAGTAGAGAAAAAAAAAAAGCAAAAAAACAAATGCTCTTGAAGAGTGATTTCAGGGTTATTATATTTGAGAGTGTATTATACTCAATAAATTACGGTAAACTGTCAGACCTGAAAATGGTTTTGTATGGGAAACAGGTGAGGTCATCTTAACAGCCGTTGCGGTGCTTGGCATCATTTGACTTATAAGGTAAGGGCAAGGGAACAAAAAAAGTCAAAGGCATTCACATCATAATGGCCTCATTACTGCGATTCACTTCAGGGTGTGGGCGGGATGTCAAAACAACCAAGCTGAATGCTGGAGCACAAAGTGATGGTAAAAAAGAAAAAGAGGTTACCTATTGCCAGTACAGAACCACACCCCTTCCACAGAGAGTCAAGTGGGGGTTAGCGTTTTTAGTTTCACCAAAAAAGTACAAAGCCTCATGAGCCAGACTGGCACAACTTTGTTTTGGGAGGAAAATGATTCACAACATTGCACTGAATGATAGTTCAAACACACACACATGCACTGACACTTTTTATATATTACCGTAGAATTCTTGGACGATCACAATAAGTGTACTCTTGTAGCACGAGATTTTCTTTTTTTTTTACTGAAAAAATACTCATAATCCTAGACCAGAACAACGAGTGAAACAAGTGACAATAAAAATCGCCACATAAACAGTTTGAAACCTGACAGACTGACATATATTTTCACTGGGCAATATTCATAAATATATTTATTTTTTAATTTAGATGCATAAACCCCAAACATAAATAGGTGATTTCAGCATATTGTAATTCTTTCTCAGCGACAGACACATTGACAAAACCACACGAAACTGTTCCTGCTGTTGAGAGTGCTGATGTGCACAAACATGAGCTGTTCCATTGCTTGATGAGGGTGCGTATTTGCACTATACTCGTAACATCCCCGCCCTCAAAAAACCCCCACCTAATTTTTGTCTCGCAGTACTATGCAACATTATCAGATTTTTGCTCTCGTGTGGCCCAAGAAGACTCTTAATAATGAACACCAAACACCTGCTGCCATATCTTAAGGTTAAGTTTAGAGTTAGGGTTAGCTAAATTCAAATGAAACAATTTTGCCCTGCTGCACTTACATTACTGTGTGTGGATTCTGCAGCATGCAAGCCTTCGGACCAAATGTAGTCACGGGGCTTGGTCCGTGTAGAGACTGGGTCCTCCTGAAGATAAACAAAACAGCATCAGACAAGACGGTGAGGTTGAGAGGATCAATTGTTAACACTTTATTGGATTTGCATCATGTCACAGGGAAAAACAAGGCAACCTATCCATCTTTTATTGAAAGTCAAAGGAGCATGATTTAAAAAACAAAACAAACAAAAAAAAAACATGACAGTAATGACCAGAATGCTGTGTCACAAATAACAGTCCAATTAGTTATGTTACTGTGAAGAAGAAGCATACAACTACAGACACAGTGATATCTGGTGGACTTTTTTAGCATGACATATTTCAGCCAAGTGGAAGTGACAGTTCAATCATTTTGAGTTAAGTTAGGCACTACCCTCATTTAATCGATCTAAAATCTATACGACCAAATGGTTGAGAAGGTAGTTAAAAGGATTAAAGGAGTATTAATGAAGAATCTGACTGGTGGATTCAGGCATATTTTACAAGATATTTTATTTTACAACATGTTTAACATCGTGGAAAGAATTTGAGTTGAGTTGAATATGAGAAAATGTTTACTCCGCATTAAATTCAAAAAAAAAAAAAAAAAAAAAATTCAAATTCAGTGGATTTAAAAACAGACTATACACCAGCCAGTTGGAAAATATAATAATGACATCCAATACAAGAGCTGTCGGAAATATTCATCTTTTTGAAAGATAATGTTCATTTTTGGTTGACATTATCAGACCTGCATGGGTTTTCTCCGGGTACTCTGGTTTCCTCCCACATTCCAAAAACATGCATGGCAGGCTGATTGAAAACTCTAAATTGTCCCCAGATGTGAGTGTGAGCGCGGATGGTTGTTCGTCTCTGTGTGCCCTGCGATTGGCTGGCAACCAGTTCAGGGTGTCCCCCGCCTACTGCTCGAAGACAGCTGGGATTGGCTCCAGCACCCCCTGCAACCCTTGTGAGAATAAAGAGGATCGGAAAATGGATGGATGGATGATCAGATATATCCATCCATTTTCTAATCCACGTATTCCCACATGGGTCGCAGGGCGTGCTGGAGCCTATCGCAGCCATCTTCGGGCAATAGGCAGGGTCCACCCCGAACTGGTTGCCTGCAAATCTCAGGGCACATAAAGGCAAACAACCATCTGTGCTCACACTCACCCCTAGGGACAATTTCGGGTGTTCCGTGAACCTGCCAAGCATGTTTTTGGAATGTGGGAGGAAGCCGGAGTACCCGGAAAAAAATCCACACAGCACATACTCACAGTTGTGTCTTGAGAGCAGAAAAATCATAACAACCTACTTCATTATCAGTTCTAGAAACACAATCTCGTCATCTGTCACAGATGAGTGTCACTGAGAAGTGGGCGTGTATTGTTAACATTTAACATTACGTTACTGAAGTATCCTCATCAAAAACGGAACAGTTCAGATGGAGACTGCCAGCATGGGAAAAGAAGTTCTTAATGTTTCACTTCCCGCACATAGGGAAAAACCCCAGTGCTGTTGCTACGGCACGCCATTGGAGATTTTGCAACACTGATGATGAACAAACATTGGACGCTTGATGACTACATGGGAATTTATGCAACATGTGGGGGTGCCGCAACTGAGCTCGGTCACAATGCACACTGACGTGCTTTTGAAAATACCCCCAAATGCAAGACAACACTAGCTCGCACTAGTATTGTGTATCACCCCTCCCATCATCATTAAACGCCCTACCTTAGGACAACAAAAGCAGTTAAAACCACAAGTTTACATATGCAAAAAAATTAATTTTTTAAAACCCTCTTTTCGCCCTCCTTGTCTGACACGAAAATCAGACTAAACCCGAACATTAAATCTGACCAAAATTCTTGTTCTACGTCCAGTCAGATGACCAAACATGTCTTTTTGCCGTTTGCCAGAATAATGAGAATATGATTTTTTCCCCCCATTACTTTCTTCAATGTTAAAAGTTTGAATATATTTCATTTGGGTACCATTGACTTTCAATTGCATTACTTGGGTCAATTTTTTTTTTGATCGCCTTCAACATACTTCTCACAATAAATGGCAGTATTTTTTTTTTGTTGGCCACCATGCACATACATAGATGCCTTTTCAGATCTGTTCATACATTGAGATCAGGGCTTTATGATGGCCACTCCAAAACAGTGACTTTGTTACTCTTTGTAACCAGCTTGGCAGGATGCTTTGTCTGTCAATTTGGAAGAACCACTTGTGGTCAAGCTTTAACTTCCTGGTTGATGTCTTGAAAAGTTGCTTCAGTATTTCCACATAATGTACTTTCCTCATGATGCCGTCTACAGTGCCGTGAAGTAGTATTTGCCCTCTTCTTAAATTGTTGCTTTTTTTCCGCACAATTTCACCACTTTAATGTTGAATATGAATTACAAAAATATACATCAGGCAAAGATAATATAAGTATACACAATACGGAGTTTTTAAACATTTTTATTGATTAAAGAAAAAAACAACAACAAGCATTCAATGCTACCTGATCCTATGTGAAACAGTACTTGCCCCTCTTGCTTAATCATAAATTTGACAGTGGCTAATCACATTTTTTGGAAAGTCGAGTTCATTTTTCGACAACCACACCCAAGTCTGATTATCTCAAGATCTGTTCAATCAAGAAATCACTTACCACAAACAGAATCTGCCTGACAAAACGAAGTCAGCCAAAAGATCTCAGAAAGCTGAAACAAAATGCCATGATCCAAAGAAATTTAGGAACAGATGAGAAAGAAAGTAGTTGACACCGATCAGTCTGGAAAGGGTTACAAAGGCATTCCTAAAGCTATAGGACTCCAACAAATGAAAGAGAGAGCCATTGTCCACAAATGGAAAAACATGAAACAGTGGTGAGCCTCGAAGTGGCCGTCCATAAAAATTCCCCCACGAGCATGGCGACGATTCAACAAGGAGTTCACAAAGGAACCCAGGACAAGAACTCAAGAACTGCAGGCCACCCTCGCTTCAGTTAAGTTCAGTGTTAATGACTCAACAATAAGGAAGAGACTGGACAAAAACAACATCCATGTCAAGAGTTCTGCTCTGAAGACGACTGCTGACCAAAAAGATGATAAAGATGTGCAGTCTTACGTTTGAGATGACCCCCGCCCCCCCCACAAAAAAAATTATATATATAAATTAAGTGAATTATTCCCATGACTGACGAGATAAAAGCTGAACTTTTTGGAGGGTGTGCAGCTCGCTGGATCTGGCGTAAACGTAACAGCATTTTAGAAAAATCACACATCATCCCAGAGTCAAAAATGGTCGTTGTGTGATGGTCTGGGGCTGCTGAACTTATTAAGGACCTGGAAAATTTACTGTGATTGATAAAAGCAATAATTCTGCTCTTTAGCAGAAAATCCTGAGGGAGAATGTTTGGCCATCAGTTTGAGGCCAAATTGTCATTGATCATTTAGGGTCATGTTCAAGCAGCATTGTGTTGTGGGTGATTGTTAAGGTTGGAAAATCACCCCCACCCGAATCCGCATCTAACCCTCACCTGAACAATTATTCTCAGCGAGCATCTACTGTGCTATGCACGCGACTGGATACAAAATGAGCAAATGAAGTGTTGGTTGTGTGCTGTTCTATTTAAACATGGATGAAAAGTACAGGAATGATCACGATGTCAGTGTAAAGTCCTTTGAGAGGCAACTACCTGTACTCAGACGAGCTGCTGGCTGAGGAAGTGCTCAGGCTCCGGCTTTTCTTGCAGCGCTTGGCCAGACGGGGCCCAGTGACGTTCCCTCCATCATGGGTAGACCAGCAGTAACGGGATGCTTTCACTCGTACCTCTTCTGCACCATCCATCTCAATATCTAACAGGATACATATCACATATCACTATTCAGAAGATTGTCCCCTTTACACCGAAGCATCAATTGTATAGTGTAGTATAGTGTGTGTGTGTGTGTGTGTGTGTGTGTGTATATATATATATATATTTATTTCAAATCCAGCCTCAAAACACATCTGTTTAGACAAGCTTATTCACTCTGACCATAAGTCCATTATCTCTATTTTGTTTTATTTTATCTTATTTTATTTGATGTTGTTTTTAACACTGTACTGTATTTGTGTTTTTAACTGCTTGTTGTCAGGTTTCCTTGAGTGCTTAGAAAGGCACCCACAAATAAAATGTATTATTATTATTATTATAGCATAAAGCGCTAAATTGGAATAACTTAATGTCGACCCATTTTTATTTTAGCGATGTTTCACTGGCTTTATAAAAACAGCAAATAAAAATAATAGCAAGCAGTGTGCGGACAGAGATTTGCGTTTAACACAGGAGTGAGCAAAAATTCGTTGCCACGCGATTATAAATTAGGTAGCTAGTTTCACATAATAGGATCATGTTGGATTCACACTGAAATTATAGCTGCCTCCGGATCTACTTCATTATGTAAGTGCAGCTTTGGCAGCTGTGTTGTTAATACGCGAGTTACCTTGGTTAAAATACTTGTACATCGCTCAAGCGTCTGCTTGCGAGGAAAAAAAAACGCAGCTTTGAACAAAAAAAAAAACCCAAAACGAACTGTTAAGCGTGAAACCTTCGACTTGAGCGATGAGCAACAAGTGAATGATGACGGATCCAACTGCTATTCATTGTATTGCTAACTAAGCTAAACAAAGCTACTTTGCAAGACAACGTGCCATATGCGGCGCGAAACGTAATAGCAGGCATTCAAATAGAAAAACGTACCTTGTCCTCACAATGTTACAGTTGGCGAAACAAATGCAGGTTTTGATTCACTCTCTTCGACTATGACCCTCGCTCACCCAGTCACCATCTTCACTTCAACTATCAACAACCAACATTTCCGGGTAGGCACTGGCCAATCAGACCGCGTACACTCGTGACGCAAGGAGGAGTTACAGTAGGGAATATAAATGGACTCCAAAATGTGGTCAAAGTACGTTACCCTATTCTCACTCGAACACTGTCAGACGGGTCTAATTCATAATTCAGATAATGAATTTAAGATTAGTATCAACCCCTTGATGTCACTGTGTTCATTGTCTTCAACCCAACATTACGGGAACCGCGCAAGCATTTCTATCAACCCCTTGATGTCACTGTGTTCATTGTCTTCGTCAACCCAACATTACGGGGAACCGCGCAAGCATTTATGGCTCTGATCTCATTTAAATGTGCAAGGAGATCATCACGTGACTGCGGTACAGTACTGTAGTGTTAATCCAATTTGTGAAGAACTTTCAAAATCTATCCTGTATTGGCAGAATCGGTTGCGCGCCAAGTTGTTTCGGAGTCTGTCCAACAGATGGCGACCGAGATCTGAAGTCAGCAGGTTCAACAGGGGCAAGTAGTAGATAAACGAGGTGACTCATTCTCTGGAACTTGAACGAAGTATTTGACACCAGGTAGCAATAATCAGCCAGGTGTTACATTTCTACATCTGAACACAATCAACAGGTTTGTAGTTACCCCCCCCCCCCAGAAAAAACTATAATTGCAGCCGAGAGAATTCTCTCCACTTGACTTTTAGACATGTTCCAAGAAGTGTGACAGCTCTGACAAAGTCTGAAGTGACAGCTGAAACTGTCAGCAATCTAAGACTTGACTCTCCACTGGAAAAAAGTCAAAAACCTCAAAACTATTTCAAAAGACAAGATGAGGGCCATAGCGGTACAATCAACACACACCGTATGTGCTCAAATGCTACATACAAATCACCACGCGTAAAAATGACTGGACGCAAGACAGGCGACTGGAACAATGAGTAAGAAATAGTTGATCCTTGAACTTCTTATCTTCAATATAATTACAAGGAAAACCAACCTGCCGCTTAACATTGTAGGTTCAAGTGGGAACCACGAAGTGAATCACACTCAACACAGTTATGTCATCTCAAACTGCTTTTTATTACATCTTAAATAACAGTACATTTTAATATAGTTTCTATCTTGCATCCAGCTTTCGGTTGTACACTGACTCACTTGAAAATTAAATACAAAAAGGTGAAAAGGGAATAGAGGGGGTGCAGAGCTCTATGGTTATTTGATGGAGAAAGAGAAAAGGAAAGGGAATTTAATTAATTTTGACTTTTTTTATTCATTTTTTTGCCAACTCCAGGCCTAACACACAGTTACAGCACATCTTTTTGTACAGACTGTTGCAGAGAAAAAACAATGGCACTACTGCTAAAAGGAAGAGCATCTTGTTTACAAGGAGAAGGGAACAAAAAAAGTCTGCCATCCAGATGCTGCAAGATATTTTTTAATTAAAAGGACAGAAAAAAAGTGTGATAAAATGTTTCTTTGAAAGTGGAATTTTGTTTGCTACAGAAGGAATGAAAATGTGTCCTATGGGTGTGTTTAGGTGATTAACTGTATATGTGAGAGTGTACAATTTACATTTACGTCTAAATAATTTGTGTAATCCCTCCCCAAGTATGGACCAAGCAACCTTTTGTAATGCAGGGTTTGCTTCTCATGTGCATAGCTTTGCCATTTAGTTGTATGATGGTATGCACGGAGTAGCAAAAAACAAAGGAAGTCAAAACTGGGGGGGTGGGTAAAAAATAAATACCATTGTATTGATACTGTATATTCAACAGGTTCTTTTCTTAAAGAAAACATCAAAGGACTTATTTCCATATGCACCTTTAAGCAATTCTACAGCATGCGATTCTAAGAGATAACCCACCCATAGCAGACAACCAATTTTTTTTTAGTTTTTTTTTTTTTTTAGTTTTTAACTTAAAAAGTTTCAATATTATTTTCAAACATTGATTTATACAACGTGTCATTCACAGAGTAGTAACTGCATTTCCAAGCACGGAATGGGCACCCGTTTGAGAAAGCTCTGGAACACAGTCTGACTAAAATGGAGCGACTTCCCAACCCAACCAACCAGTCGCATCCCTCGGTCCCAACCGCAGCAACACAAAAACTACAGGAGGAAAATAAGTCAAATAAAATAGAGAAAGGGTTGGGTGGATTATGATCCAATAGATTAATCTTCATTTCATTAGTCTAGACTGGTGCCAGACAAAAAGGTTTAAGAATGGTTAAATGGTTTTCTTTTTTTTTTTTAGGTTTTTGCATTTTAAAAACGAGCATTCATTTATAACAGCATGTGCTTGGTTAGTTAACTGTTTTTCTTTAGACAATATTCTATATATGCAAAGTTTACATTTTTGTGCAAACAAAGATTTGTGGACTACACTGGGGGCGGGGGGGAAGAAGTTTCATGGGTCTAAATATACAGCAGGGCCAAAAGTGGCTTGAGGACTCCCCGTTGAAGCAAAATTCTCTCGCTTTGTTCTCCTGTGGGATAAAGCCTAATTCACAAGGATATTTTCAAATGAAAACATTCTTTAAATATGTAAAGATTAGCAAATAATACAAAGATTTGATCCTCATTTTAACAGACAACCGACATTTGGACTTTGACGGAGATGATGAAAGAAAAAAAAAAAACAAAACAACAACTGAAATATGTCCAAGAAGCTATAAAGAGTTAGATCGCTGTCATGCAATAATCTTCACTCAAACTGTGGTCATGAGAGGAACGCACAATTTTTTCCATCCGTCCATTCTGAGACAACCAAATACCTTGACCTGTAACTGTTGGAACTGAATGAGTGACAGACAATTGTGCTCTTTTAAGGAGGAGGAGGAGGAGAGAGAGTGAGAGATTTTTGCCCTTAATAGTTTGTTGGGTGTTTTGAGTCAGTATCATGTTTTGAAAAGATTGGATATGCAATACAATTAAACATTGTGATGTTGGAATGGTCGTCCATGCCACTTTGGCGTCCGGATACCATCTGCAAATGAACAAACCACTGTTAGTTGACAGAGTTACTGAACAACAGGCTTGATGATCAAATACAAATGAATGATACAACTAACATTGTGCTCTGCGACTGCTGCTTGTTACAATGCAACCACAATCAGTGGCGGACTTTTCGAGAAAGAGGCCACCACAGATGAGATTCTCCAGATCATCAATGACAGCCTTTCCCAAACATTAGAAGCTATGAAACCCCTTCGGCATCAGGCAGTCACCCTTTTTCCACGCCGCACAAAACCAGTTTGGCATATTTGTATGAAATTAGCTCCCAAAAGCTCCATGTATTGCAGAATTTTTAGCTTTTGAGTTAGGACTAACATTTCAGGGCGGTAAAGTTCATAATACCCCGCACCACAGCTTGCAAATTCCTCATCCATGTACTGTACATAATAGACTGTATTCCTTAGCCCTATCTTTATCGTATCGAAATATGAACATTCTAGATATTGACATTGAAATGAGGAAGATATCAGTCACGTGATTTTTTTTTTACCACGTTTTAGTGATTTCAGGAAAAAAACAGGTAAACCAATACAACAAATATGATCTGACTCTAATGTAAACCGTCACTGGGCCAGATTTCAGAATGGAGTGACCATGCGAGCCATCCTTTGCCCACCCTTGCCATACATAAAGCCAGTGTAAAAATCCTGAGGCCTTTTCATACCTTCAGATTCTAGTTCCAGATCTTGAGGAAGCTATCCCAGGACCCTGTTGCCACTGCCATTCCATCGTCAGTCACACCCAAGCAGCTCACCCGGTTATCATGACCAGCCAGGACGCCTGTGAACACAGTGAAGACTCAAGAAAAGCACAGCAGACTCATCTGCATAGATGTAAATAATTGTGGGGGTCCCGATCAATTTTTTTGAACTGATATATATAAAATCTTTGTCATTTGTTTGTATTTTCATGTAAATTGTGTGCCGCATTTTACATTTATTGGGAACCTAGACGACAGCAATTCAGTGGAGTGGACCATATAAGCTTGAACATAGAATGAGGGATTTCTCTACTTGAGCACATTTATGTAATTGTATTTACAAAATATTTACCGCAAATCATTTATTGGCGCCTGCATGCTTAAATGACGAGGCCACGTAGCTACATAGTTGGCGAGTACATACGTGTCTTCTCTCATCTATATACGACTTCACGGATTTTTTTTTTTACCTCATTAACCGCAATCAGTGGGGAACAAGATTGCTCATCGACTTGTTAAACTTCTACAGTATTTAAGTTAAACTTCGACAATGTTTAAAGTTACGCAAGTCGTGTCACAGCGATAACCTGTCTGTCGCACTATCAACTCTACGATGACACCCTTCAGCGAGGTGTTTTTTTTCATCTGGATTTTCAGACTTATTTAGAAGTACTTTAAGGCATGCGCTGAGCGTTTTATGTTATGTTTTCCATGGTTATGAGACACTTCTTGCTCCAAACAAGCATATGGGGAGAGCAGTGACACAGTGACATCCACCATAATCAAGCAAAGTTTACCTGCACGATCGGCTTTCAAAGTGTCCCAGACATTGCAATTGAAGTCGTCATAGCCAGCCAGCAGTAGACGGCCACTCTTGGAGAATGCCACAGAGGTGATACCACAGATGATGTTGTCATGTGAGTACACCATCAGCTCCTGGTCAGCACGCAGGTCAAACAGCCGGCAGGTGGCATCGTCTGAGCCCGTGGCAAAGGCATTGCCATTGGGGAAGAACTGCAGATTTTTTTTTTTTAAAAAATGGTAAATTATTATATTTAGTATTTTTAAAAGTAGTACAATACATTTTCAGCCAAGATAATTAGTATACAAAGGTGTTGATTTCTATGCAATATGGATGACTGGAGTAACTAAGGTGAATGATGATTCAGTCGGCAAAAAATTTTGATTTCTAACAACAAATTAGGGCCGCCGCACACTACGGAATTCGACTCTGACCCGACCGACCGATCATTCCTGCACATTGGGCCATGTTAATGAATGGACTGCGATGTGAAATGTGCGAAGCGCCTCA